CATCTTATTGGAGACTTTGGAGAGACCTGAAGCTTTATTGTTTAGTAATATTTGAGTAAATTGTACTATTCCTCTTCACTTAGTAGATCTATAAGGTAGTTGTAAATTGAATTATTTATAGCTAAGAAAGGTTCGTATTAAGATTTCTAATCATCAGTAAGTTCTACAAATTAGTGGTATGTACTATTGGTTTGTTAAAAGTATCAGTTTGTCTCTCTTTTGACTTCTTCTACAGACATAAGAAAGTTAAGATTATTCATTGAGTTGTCAAAATATCAATTAATTTAGTATTTTCTACTAAGAATGGAGTCAAATATTTTTGATTAATCATTGTTAAAGTTTTCACATTGTTATTTTAGCGCTACTTTAATTTGTTTAGATTTATGTTTGTCTTCTTTAATAATAATCATATAAACTTTACTTAAGTCTGTTAAGGTTAACTTTACTTATATAAGGTCTTATAATGTAAGAGAGACAATACTGAGCTAAGATAACTTGTATTGTGTTGCCAGAGAAACCAATTTTTGATAATATATTATCTAATCATTTGGGATCTGAGATGTGTAAAGGTTTTTTTTTTGTAATACATTGTAATTTTAGATGTGAACAAGTTGTTTGTACATATTTTTTAATAAACAAGGTTATAAATCTTTAGAATGGGCTGATGAATGTCAGTCAGACTGATATATATTTGTTAGCAGTTTTGATTATACATCCTTGGATAAGGTTTTAGAAGAAGTTTAAAACTTACTTTGAGTATAGTTTATCAGGAGTAAGACATGATAATTGACAGCTATTTGCAAAAGCTTTCACTCATTTAGAAAATTTGTTTTAAGATATGTCATTCATTTTGTCATAAATATATGATTTCTTTGCAATTTGGTCTTTGAATTTGGTGGTAACATTGATCTCAGCTATGTTAATATTGATGAAGACAATTGAATGATCTGAGATATGGGGTCTATTATTGTCATATTTGTAATATTAATGCCAGTAGCAATAAGTGACAAGCAGTATATGTAATCAATTCTGGTAGGTTGATGTTTAGCTGAATGAAAGAATAATGAGAAAAATTGGTTAACATTGTCGTAAAGAAGGTCAAATACATTAAAAAGTTATAATTTATCAATTTGCAAGAAGAATAGGTTCGCTTGTAACATATTACTTAACCTATCAGGGATAGCATTAAAATCTTCTAATAAAATAGCTTTTATATTAAGACTTCTTACTTTAATAATTAGAGTTATAGTATCTTTATACATTTAATATCATAAGATTTTATTTGAACTTGAAATGTAGCAATTGATAAGATGAATTTTAAATTTGTTACGAAAATTAAAAATCAATGAAGATGATGTGACTATTTTTCATCATACTTATAAATGTAATTAGTAAGTTATTTTCTTATTAGCAACCCAACACCTGTATTAGATGATTAAGTAGTATTGTTGAAGATAAAAAAAGAAATAAATTGGAAGAAAAGTTGATTTATTAAAACTTTTAATATCATTGTTTATTTTAAAGTTTATTTTTTAAATTCCAATAATATCTAAATTGTTGAACTTATATAAATTGATTAATAATTATTATTTATGTAATTGAAGAAGGAAATGAATATTATGTGTTGCGATATTAATATGAAATGATAAAATAGTTGAAGAATTAATTAAAAATTATTGTTTGATTGAGTATATTCAGAATCAATTGAACTGGTAGAGTTAGCTCTATTATCATTATTATTATCAATCATTAAAAGTATTTGGGGTGGATGAGGTAAATTCTCTATTAACATCTTTAGTATAACTAGACAGTAGTACCACTTTGGCTATATCAATAAATACATTAGGGCTAATTTTGAGTTAGGTTTAAAGTAAGTATTGCATATTAGTAATTTCTCAACTTACATTGTTGAGTTTGAGAAAGCTGTCTTCTAAGTTAGTTTTTAGTAAAACATTTTCTTTTTTGAGATAGGCGATTTTAGTAATTTATTTCTTTACAATATTATCTTCAATATTAGAATCAGCAGTGAAAGTATTTTCTTCTGTTTCTATATCACATTATTATAAATTTTGTTGAGTAAGTTAGCTTAAATAGATGAGAGTATAGCAATATTAAGAACAGCTTCAATGGCTGATATTCAATCAATGGTAAAATATAAGTCACAGTCCATTTTAGCTAATTGGTTTGCAATGACTTCAAATTGGTTAGAGATTTTAGTAAGCATATCAGGTTGTTTTAGTTGATCATTGTTATTACGTGATTAATGGTAATTATATTCATAATCATCTGTCTAAGAACTATGTGTGTAAATACTTGCATCTAGTGTTTTCTCTTCTTTATAGTTGATTGGATTCTTAAGTTTATTGGATTGATATATAGGAAGAGGATTAGGTTTTTTAAGTAATTTTTTTGACTTGCTTTTTTAGGTTGATAGGCTGTATTGGGAATATTTAGACCATTGCCATTTTTTGGTAAATTATTGTTAGGTTGATCATCTTTTTTTGTGATAATTTGTTAAATACTATTAGCTTAGGCTTAACGATTAAGTTCAGTAATTATAAAATTATGCAGATTAAAATCTTTGATAAAGTTATTGTATTTAGCAGTCTCTAGAAATCATTCTTTTCTTGTAGTAATTTTGTAATTGATGATTAGGAGTTTGACTGATGAAGTATAATTTTAAGTTCAGATCTGTTTATATAAATCTTTTTCTATAGAGATAGAAAATTTCACTATTCTTGATAGCATCCATTGATTTTTTGTCTTTGAAGTAGAAAATAGCATACTGAAAATTATAATAATTAGTACATGATTTAGAAATAACCTATATACTGTATCGGACAGCTATTCTGAATTAGGTTGATAAAGACTTCTCTTTTCAGTAATTGGCCAGAATTTTTCATATTAACTGTATCAGAGGTTAGCCATGCGGCATCCAGAATACATAGCCAGTTGCGAAGGCTAGTATTTCAGCAGTTCAGACTAGCTTTAAATGTAGCCAGGAGGGCTTGTTTCTGAATACAATGACATATCAGACATATGAGCCGCAGAGTTGGGATATTCAGGCAACCGATCACTAGAACCTTAGGAAAAAAAAAAAATAACCTATATAATAGCTTTTATTGCATTGCTAATCAAGATAAGGTAGTGTCCATTAGTGTCTAATAATAGATTGGTTAGTTTAAGAGAGAACTAACATTTTTTTCTAACATCTTTATTTGACATAATGTAAGGGTGCATTCTAATAGAGTCTTTTAATATGAAATAGCTATTTAGTTTGTTGAGAGTGGTCATATCAGTATATCTTTGAAAGTAATGGTCACCTGTTACCAAAAGTTTTTAGTAGACATAGTATATTTAGTGATCTTGTCAAAAAAGGAAAATGTAGATCACAAATTAGATTTTGTAGTAGAGATCAGTATCTTAGTTATTCTGATTAATTGCTCAGGAACATATTTTGCAGTTGGTTTAGTAATTAGAGGTAAAAATATGTCATTATCTAAACTAGGAAGTTTAAGTATGATTGTATTATTTGCTTTATTACATGAGATAAAATCAATTTGAACAATTTTTTTTATTAAAATCATTATGATAAATGCATACTGAAGTAACAAAGAAAGATATATAGTATGTTGCAAAGATATCACACGCCTTATTTTATTTTTCTCAATTCGTTTTTTTAAAAAAAATTTTTTGCAGCGTAGTAGCTAAAGTAAATAGGAGCATCTGTTTCTCGCTCAAGGTGGATACCGTCAGCTTTATTCTTGTTATTATCAAGACTATTTTAGTAGTGTTGAAAGACTAGTCGACGTCTATAAGAGTTTTAGAATGGGATGAGAAAGTTTCAGATGCTTTTTTTTGTCATTCTGTAGAATAGTAGTTGAGTCAAGTTCTATGTCAGTAGGTGCATCTTTTGTTGAATTATTATTTGAAGACAAAGCTTCTGTTGGTTAGGAAGGTTGAAGGAACTATTTTTTTGCTAGTTTTGTTATTGGTTGTTGTTTGAAAAAGAAGAGCAAGTCTTATTAGACTTGTTATTGTTGTTATTTTTGCTATTTTTTTTAGTCATATTGGAAATGGAAATATATAATATAAATTAAGTATAAATAATATAATTAATATTATTTTTATTAAAATAAATATTAAAATCATTTTATATATTAATATTCAAATAGGAATCCTAAGTAATTTAATTATAGAAGATAATTATTTTTAAGAAGATATCTAATTTATAAATGTAATCAATATGACAAATCAGTTTATATAGTTATTAAATAAGATTAGTAATAGATAAAAAATTACCTATATATTTAATTAATAAATAAAAAATATTAAATTCATTTTATTATTTATATTTAATTAATTTCTTGAATTCTAATACTAATACTATAATTTGTATATTGCAGATTGAATTGATTATTGGCTTTATAGTAATTTAAAAGTTATTGCAAGTTATTAATTGAACTTTTTATTATATAAAATTATAATCAAAAATTGGAATAACTAATTATAATATAAAATAAGAAGTTGAGAAAGTATGTGTTTTTGATGGTTTCTATTAAGTCAAATAATAGATCAATATAGCATCAAACGCTATTTTAATTGTCTTTGAGTTGTACAAAATGCTTGATATGCATTTATGATCTATAACCTATGTAATATTAAAAGCACAATTATCTTTTTATGATTTGTATTAAATGTTTTCTTAATAATTATTTGCTAAAGCAGACATAGAATGGTTTTAGCAACAAAAATTGTATTAAAGATGATAAAAAAAAAGGATATTTTAAAAAAAAATATAACACCATAACACCATTCATTTTGATCACAAACAATATTTACATGAATATGAATGATATGGGACCTTTGCAATAGAAAGGGGAAAACTGCCGGAAAAATCAATTTTACTTTTATATGCCAAGCATGATTTTTAGGTCAAAATATGTTCAGAATTAGCATTAACTCATTTTTATTTTTTCCATCAAAGGTCCCATATGACAATGAGGCAATCAGCATTTCTTCTTAACAAATCCCCAAATAACAAACCACTTTCGCGAAGGGATAATTTACGTATTACAATAGGAGTAGATGATTTATCAGACAACCTTATTTTATAATACGTTACAGCCTCTTGTACCATCATTACAGGAAATTGTTAGAAAATCCCAAATTGGTAACGGTCAAAAACCGTCACAAAGATATATGGGAACACAATATAAAAAAAAAAGGCATGATATTGTAATTTACAGAAAGTTGTCGTGAGCGCATCATTATATTAATGGTGTTAGTAATTTTAAAATAATATGCTGCTAGGCAACGACATTTTGGTGTTTTAAATATATTTCATTATTAGTATATACTGTATAAGTGTTATAAGTGACACTATTCTGACAATGGAACATAAAAAACAAAAGATGTTTCATACGACCATAAAATGCTTGATTTTTTTTTTGTTACATCTCCTCTAACTAGTGTTCTTGATCCAATTAATTATGATCGATCATAATTTGAACTGATCACAAAAATTTATAATCAATTAAAAATTGACTTTAATGCCATTTTATTTTTTTGAATTTCTTTTCAAAATATTATTTCTAAATAGGAAGATCAAATACATCAATTTAATATGAAATAAATTACGAATACGTACTTTGCAATGATTGATAAAAAAAAAGAGATGTTATATTAATAATTTAATCGATCATTGAATCGGTCAATTTATATTCGAAAGCATATAAGTTATTTATTCGAACCGAAAACAATCAATTGATCGATTTAAAGTTCGATCAATCGAATTTTGATCGAACCGATGCATAATTAGCCAATTAAATACCCTACCTCGTGTGACTTTAATTTAAAACAGAATACCAAAATGTAATGATCATGCCTTGAGATAACAATGATCAGAATCTAAAAAATTGGCAATTCTTTGCAGTCTTAGCATGTTTATCATAGGTGTCGTTATATTACTTCAGACGACTAAAATCAAAAGAGAAATTTTTACAAGGATTTCGGAATATTTAAAAAGATCAAAAAAAAAAAAAAAAAATATTCATTTTTTAATATTTCAAAAATTATATTCTATAAAAATTGGAATAAACATTATAAGTAAGAGATATCTATCAGTTACGGCCATACACAGTGAAAAGCACCGGAACCCGTCCGATCTCCGAAGTTAAGCCACTGATGGCCCAGTCAGTACTACGGTTGGGGACAACGTGGGAATACTGGGTGCTGTAACTTTTTGTTTTTTTGACGGAAATTTATTTGATTAGCATTGCGAAGATAATTAAAATTTTGATTGTTTTTACAAATTTTGGTAAAGTTATGAAATGTTATAGATTTTTTTATTCAAATAAATATAAAATGTTTCATATGTATCAATAAATAATCGTTTCTTTTTACTTCTTAGTTAAGGAGGCTTACTATAAATTCACGTAATAAGTTAAAATTTTCAAATATTAATAAGTAAGGAAATCTTCGTAACCTTTGTTTTTTGAACAATTATGATAATTAAAAGAACATGATGTTTACAATTTCGGTAAAATTATTTTAATGTAATAATTTAGATTAATTGTTTTAAAAAATACAAAGGATCATATTTATCAAACGATGCATTTATAAAGTAATCAAACTTTCGTGTTTCCAATTTCGCGCTTCAGATCGACAAGAAGATCATTAGCAAATTTAATATCAGTCAAGGAAAATTACGATAATTCTTTTAAATTTATAAATATTAATATTTTATACAAATTACAAAGTAAGAAAAATCTATCAGTTACGGCCATACACAGTGAAAAGCACCGGAACCCGTCCGATCTCCGAAGTTAAGCCACTGATGGCCCAGTCAGTACTACGGTTGGGGACAACGTGGGAATACTGGGTGCTGTAACTTTTTTGCTTTTAACGAAAAATGTATTGACAATTGTTACGACTTGATAAGAAACGATTTAAGAAAATTTTATACATTAACTACTGTATAAAATATCTATAATTAAACATTTCGAAATCCTTTCGCATTTTTGAGATTAATGAAAATTTTTCAATTGAGGAAATTTTCTTGAACTTTTTAGCAAATTACATAAATTTATAAATTTTTTAAGTTTATAATGAAGCAGATTCTTCCGTTACGTCCATACGGTACGGCTGGAAAAACGTATCGTAACTTTTGCAGAATTTGCAATTTAAATGTATTCAATCTATATAATGAAACCCAAAAGTTTACTTTTTAATAAAATAAATTTCTTCGAAATAATAAATTTTTAATTCAATTCACTCTTATATTTCTGAATAAATTGAAAGATCAAAAGGATCAAAATGTAAATTACAATTTCAAATATAAACTTAATGGTGGATTTGAAAAGTTTAAAAGAGTTATTTCCTTGATCGGATTGTAATGCATCATCCAAGGCAGAGTCGGTCTCATCGTCCGAACTTGAATCTGACGACGCACTCGATTCTAGTAATAAAAAAAAAAGGAATCAAATAATTTTACCGATAAATAATAATTGATTACGATTAAATTAAAAAAGCAGAATTACCTTTTTCCAGAAATGCTCTAGCTTTTTTTGCAAGCCTTTTATCAAAAGGATCAATATAATCCAAGGCAATCTGACCGTCTTTACCATGAATCGCATATAATCCGATTATCGCAACAACCCTTGATCCGAATCGTTTATCAGCAAAATACTTAAACTTCTTAGCCTGTCTTTTAATTTCCTTCTTATTCTCCTTAAGATGAGCCTTATTAATATGTTTAACTTCAACAACAGCCATAATACCAACCTCAGAAATAAATAGCAAATCACCCTCAAGAGAAACATCATCCTTTTCATCTGAATAACCCCAATCATATTCATAAAAATATTTAAATCCTGGCAAGTATCTTTCTTGATTTAAGATGATTTCAGTCATAACTTCTGCCCTTGAATTTAACTCAACTTCAAATTTCATATTGTGCTTTTTTGGGTCAAGAAACCATTTATTCATCGTTTTAATATGTGTGCTCTTCAAATTTTCTACCTGGGGTTTAAATAATTTTGCAGATAATGAGACTAGTTGCGTCAATAAATCATCTTGATCCCATCCAAATTCATAATATTTCTTCTTCCTTCGTGAAATCGTTTCTCTCAGGTGAACGACAAGTTTCTTTGAAACAATATATTCCCTTATGATTTGAACAATATCTTCAGGAATTTGATCATCAAATTTTTGTTTTTGACAAATTTTGAACATAAAATTCAACTCCTTGATAGTAATTTTATCCATTTTTAAATAAAATCCAAAACCAAAAAAAAAATGAAATAAAAAAAATGAAAGAATGAGAGAAAAAAGATGAGGTTAGAGTGATGAAATTGATAAAAATTGCCTAAACCCTTTTATCAAATGTTTAAATTACGCTTAGTTACACGACATCATAATGATGATCGTCAGCATTATTAGTTCCTCATAAAATTTATCAAATCCCTTTTTTTCTCCCACATTTGGAAAAAATTATGTCGAAATCTTCTTTTCCCATCGAGTGTTTTAATGGAATATTTAAACATATCGAGAATGATAAATCAACCTTACATTCATGTTTATTGGTGGATAGGTTGTGGTGTAGAATGATTATACCTATACTTTGGAGTCGTACATTTTCCTTGATTCAAAATTCAAAAAACTCGTCACTTTTTCTAACGGGAACCTATCTCTCATTCCTCAATGACGAAGAAAGGCAACTTTATAATCATTATCCTGAATTATACCCAACAAAATTTGAGGAACATTTATTTAATTATCCGAGTTTTTTAAAAGAGTTTTATTATGACTTGATGTATTCAATTGTGAAATTTTGGGTTAAAACGAATACTAATTTAGATATTTCAACGAAATATAATTGTCAGATTATATTAACGATCTCATGTAATATTTCACAAAGTTTATTCAAAATGTTTTTGAGAAATAATGTTCAAATTAATTTGATGAACATTAAATCTTTTGAATTTTATCCTGATTTACCCTTTTTGTCCAATCTTCACAATTCCTTTTCAAACCTTAAAAGTTTTCAATTCAACGCCGATTTACAACCCCTTAACACTTTTTCAAACACGTATTCCTTTTTAAAATCCTTACCTCGGTCATGTAATGATATATCTCATTTATTACTTAATGTTCATTTCAAGAAGAAGGATGATAAGGAGGAATTATTAATTAATATAATTAACGCTCAAAATAATATAAAAAAATTTATAATTAATCCTCATGGAATCATACCGAGGTCGATTTTAAATTCGATAATTCATCAAACATCATTGGTACTAGTGCATTTTAAGGAAACCAAATTTATTAATTCGTTTCCTTTTGAACTTTTGTTAAATTGTGATAATTTAAAATTCCTTTTAACCGAGAATTGTCATGAGTATTATAACAGGGAGAATTCACAGATCGACACAGAAGTCAAACCATGTTCCATCTCCTTAAAAGATATCAAATGTAAAGTGGACACTCTTTACATAAACAACAACAATTTTCTCCCTTTAACGATATCAAGATTGATCCAATTGTCGGGAACAAACTTGACCACATTATGGTTGGACAGGACGAAATTCTCATCATACATCATCACATCCGAACCCCTTTCAATCCATTGTCCAAATATTTCTCATTTAATATTAACCCTTGATACCATCAGTTTATATCAAACCAAGAATTCCCTTTCAATTTTAATTTCTAATTTAAACCTGGAATATTTTGGAATAAGAAATTTTGGATGGACAAATGAATTGATTGCCGATTTGGGAAATTATCTGCCTAGTTCATTAAAATATCTAGAAATATCAAGTTTCTTTGATTTTGAAGCCTTATATATGTTATTGAAAAGGTGTAAATGTCAATTAAGAGGATTGAGTATGATCTTTTTTAATGAGAATTATTTAAGCTTCATTATTGATTATGCTAAATGCAACAAAGATTTTAGATTATTGGGAATAGATATCTTTCTTTCCGAGGAAAATAAAGGGAAAATCAAAGCTTTAAAGGCATTGAAGGAAGAAACGAATATCAAGATTGTTGATCCGGATGAATTGAAGTTGAAATCATCACCCTCGTATTATGATTATATACGTCAAAAGCCAACATAATCATTATCCTTTCCTTTCGTCAAGAATTTGAATATCTTTCAAAGCCTGTCTAACTCTGTCGAGGCTATCAGAATAATTGCCATACATTGCGATTAAAGATGCGATTCCAGATAGTTGATTATCCTAAACAGGTATGAATTTTAGTTATATCCCTTTTTTTTTCAAGATCATTTTTTCAGGTTATGATTAAAATACATACAATCTTTTCATCAGTGATATCATGATTTCTTATCCATGAAATACTCTCCATATCATTCGGTAATAATGCGATACTTTGTGTAATTGTAGGAAATAATTCTGAAAGTGCGCTATTTTCAATTAAAAGAATAAAAAAGTGAGAATTTGAGATTCTAAAAATTTTGCCATAAATAAAAAGAAAAAATTTTTTTTTATTCAAAAATAAATGCCTGTGATATTCTGGTTCAATATTTATATGTTCCCCGACGAATGGTTCTTTAAGTCTCATCAACAAAGATTGTTTGTGAGACGTTATAGAAGCGATATGTTTGCTGAAATTTGATAATATCTTGATCTTTTTTTCTAAAATGAAGGAAAAAAAAAGTTTTTTTTTTTTTTTTTTTTAATAAAATAATGTTACTTACTGTAAGGGAAAACAAAAAAAAAAACGAACCGATCTCTGACTTTTTGACCAAATCGAAACTCTGTTGAGAATCTTTAATTTTGGTGAGCACTTCTTGAATCTAGATCAAAAGTAATCATTCGAAAATAAGCTAAAAGGTGTATAACAGATCATTTCCGAGTAGTTTAGATTCTTGCCTGGTAAACATTATCATGAAGAATGAGAATCTCTTTTAACAATTTTGCTAAATGTATTGATGATTCCGTTTGCGAAGTAGTAAATGTAACTGGTCCCTATTAAAATTTATTATTATTATTTTTTTTTTTTAATATATATATATTTTTTTTTTATTTTTTTTTTTTTAAAAAAAAAAAATTAAGATTTACAGTCGTGTATTCAACTTTTTTAACGATCTCCAAGACATTATTAAGTGTTGGTGGCGTGTTAATAGTTGTGTTTGGGAGGTAATACCTTGACATAGTTGCAAATGAAGATTTGTAGATATATTTTGCGAGAGATTTTTTATATGTTAAAAATTTTACCAATAAGGAATTTCAAAGCGTGTGCGATTAACTGATTAGGGGATGTAAAAGCACGTGTAAATCAGAAGGAACTTTTAGGAGAGACGCAATTGGTTCTTATAAAAAGTTTAAATAATTTTGGTGAGAATTTTTTTAATATTTAACGAGGGATTTGATTTTATGTGATGAATATGATTACTTATTTGTAAAGAATGCTTGGAAAGAATGAAAAAGAGGACGGGATTTTTGAAAGGTCAAAAAAAAAAAAACGGAAAATAAATTTTAAGGTATGACTTGGTCTGTGCGCTAATCTCGTGTACCGAACACTCCTCGATGTGATTTCCAATTTCATATCAACAGTTTTTTTTTAATATACAGTATAACGAACAGGGATTTATTACCGCAAGTTCGGTTATTAACTATATCACGTGATCATCTTTCATCATCTTTTGATGTATAATTGTAGAGGACAGATTACGTGGACTTCGATACGCAATTATTAACACACTTTGTTTTTCATTTCAAGAACAAACCGCATGCAAAAATATCTTCTATTTTTAAAAACGATAAAGCTTTTTAAAATAAAGGAAACATAATATCATATATCCATATATATTTACTGTGGATATTAGGTTAGCCATATTAGTTTAACAGAAGTCTTAATTAGACACATTGAAGTAACTCTTTTTAAATTATTTGTTAGACAATGAGAAAATTTTACCAACCTTGCATTCAACCTTGCATAACTTCACAAAATGTTATATATATACTTTGATCATCTTTTACACTTCGAAAACAAAAATTACCGCCAATACGTTTAACAAGTTGGATTATGTCACCGATCCTCAAAATTTTTCTATCGAAATGGTATGAATACCACCGTTTGTTATATCGTTTAGAAGAAGACGTGTAATTTTTGGCATGAAAAATGGCTGATTTCTCATTATAAAAGGAAAGCTTGCATTGACGAAATCTTTTATTTTTATTTTTATTTTATTTTTTTTTCTTTTAACAAAAAAATAATGGAAAATAAATAAATAATAAATAAAGTATGTTGGTTGTTTCACTCCCATAAAAAATAGATTAGACCCCATCGATACAAGATAATGAACTAATGTACGCCTTTTTTTAAAGTTTATGGTTAAAATGTATGGTTCGCTTAATAAATATAATAAAAAAAAAAAAAAAAAAAACGCCAAAATCATTAATGTTGAAACTTTATGCGAAATCTTACTCGTCTTAAAAAGAATCTATGGTATGAAAATCATATTAAATTTTGTACATCATCAACCCATCATTCAATATAACTTGCTATTCGAAAGATAAAATTACAATCATGATGAAGATAGCTTCTTCTATGCCATTTTGAGAATTCTTATATACATGTGCCTATTTTTTTTTTTGTGATAAAAACATAAAAAAAAGATACAGTAATAAGATAAAATAAAATAAAAATGTATCTTATTTTGATCTAAAAAAAAAAAACAATGAATATTTCCATTAAACGTTGAAAAGGGGAGTTGGTAAATTGACAAAATACAAATAAAAAAAGGTCATTCGATAGATATAGGCATCCGTCTAGCGAGATTGCCAGAGGGTTTCCTCTTTAAACCTTGTCAAAAAATCATATGAAATTTGCTGATCAAAAAAAAAAAAAACGATCGACGTTTTATGCCATTTGCAAAAAAAAAAAAAAAAAAATCGTAAAAAAAAAAAAATAGATTTGATTGTAATCCATAAATAAAGTTTTGAGTTCACAATATACATGCACTTGTGATAAGCCTAATAAAATAATTGCTGACATTGGGTTTCGGGTATTGAAACATACGGTTACCTTCAGCTTTCTGACACCGCTCCGTCACCACTCTGCCGATAAATAGTGGGTGATTATTTCCCCAAAGGAGAATTCATTTCGTTTTGAATAAATTAACCTTTTTGGGGAATCCACTTGTTCGGTTGCTCGTCACGTGACCCCTCTAAAAACTTTAAAATGATGATGCCCGGATTTTAATTTCAGGTTGGTCGTTTTTTAAGGGTAAAGATATAGATGGTGCAAGATTGACTTGTGTAAATTGTTTGTGTATTAAATATTTAATTTGTACCACCTTTAAGTGCAGATATATGTTTGGAGACTTGATAACAAAAAAAAAAAATATTTACCATGTCCTCTTATGTTAAGATCCCTTCGAACCTTAAGCCTTCCGATCCACAGGGGTCGGATTTATTGGCCCAAGAAAGAGCTACGGTTACATTCGATGTGAAAGAACTTACACTTTTTTTATTCGGCAAAAAAAATTTGGACCGTTATCATGAAATTTTAAGGATAGTTGAAAATGACCCTGCTTTTGACAAAACCAATGTGTATTTTATGGGACGAAATGAATTATTTAAACATGCGATGAAAAAAGAAAAAAGGCTAGCTCAATTAATTAAGTACATATCTTTGATAAGTATAATCATTTACTTTATCATTTCAAGATAACCATTGTAACCGATAAAATTTCTAGAGAAAACAAATGGAAGGTAGAAGACATTCAATTCGCTGAATGGTTACTTGATACGCCGGGACCGGTGTGTGGTTTATGACCTGTATATATGCTTTTGCTTATCTCATTTCTGATTCGAAAATTTTGAAAGTTTGGCGTTCATCGAGGAATGTTCATACCAACTTTAATTAGTCAAGGAACGGAAGAACAAAAGAAGGAATTTCTTGTTCCGGCTTTGAAATACAAAATTCTTGGATGCTATGCGCAAACCGAATTAGGACACGGTTCCAATGTCCAAGGTTTGGAGACAACTGCCACTTACATCTCTGAAGCCGATGAATTCGAAATACATTCTCCTTATTTGACGGCTTCTAAATGGTGGATTGGAGGTTTGGGAAAAATTGCGTATGCATTAAACCTACACGTTAGCCGGCGTCACGATGAATGACTCATTTAACCTAAATCATCTTTGATCCCGCAGTAATCATGCGGTCGTTATGGCTCAGCTGAAAAGTAATGGAAAACCCTATGGTCCTCACCTCTTCGTCGTTCAGGTTCGAGACATGGAAACGCATCAGCCTTTGCCTGACATTACAATCGGAGACATTGGTCCTAAGTTCGGGTAAATAATAATTATCCGGAAACGTGCGGTAACATTTATCTCAAATTTTTTTCCTCCTCCTCCTCCTTAGTCTTAATTCTACCGATAATGGATTCATTCTCTTTGATCGTGTCCGAATTCCACGATCCAATATGCTTTCCAAATTCTCGCAAATCAAAAAGGGAACGGGAGAATACATAAACCCACCGAACAATAAATTATTATATGGCACCATGGTTTTAGTTCGTGCCATAATCATTTCGGGTGTGCGTTTCGCGCTCGAGCGCGCTGTCACGATTGCAATTCGCTATTCTGCTGTACGCAGGCAATTTGTCGATAAGGAGGAGCCAAAAAAATTGAAGGATGGGTAAGGGAACTAAAAATGAGACGAATGTTATTGTTATTATTATTATCATTTTATAACATGTAACCCCTACCTATTTTTAGTCGTGTGGTAGAAACGATCATATTGGATTATACAATGCAACAATATCGATTGTTTCCCGTCATTGCTCAAGCTTACGCGTGTTTCTTTACGGCCAAAGTCATGATCGATCAATACGCAGAATACACGAAACAGAGTTCTGTTGGGAACTATTCTCTGTTGACAGACTTACACGCTTCAAGTTCAGGATTGAAATCCTTGACAACTACAATGGCCGTAGACTCGATTGAAGAATGTAGGAGAGCGTGTGGTGGTCATGGTTATTCAAGTTTTAGCGGATTTGTCAAATTTTATCAAAATTATTTACCAAATACAACTTGGGAAGGAGATAATTTTGTCTTGACTCAACAGACCGCTCGTCATGTGAGTGCGATGAGAAATGAGCGCTTTGTTTTCTTTTTTTACCTCCTTCCTGACGAGACCTTGTTTTATTTACAGCTCTTTAAAACGTTTCGCAAAATGGTATTGAGCAAAGGTGCCGAAGCGTACCCGTCTCAATCCGAGAGGAATCAAACCATGACATACATCCTACAATATCTTAATGACCCGAATCATACATGTACAGCGACAACACTTTTGGATTTTAAAAATCCCGAACTTCAATTGAGGGCATTTGGCCATCGAGCGGCCTACTTAATTGCAAATGCGGTGGATCAAATCGATAATCAAAAGAGCACATGGAATTCCATGCTGGTCGAGATTAACAGAATATCACGTGCTCACTGTCAATACCTCTTGGTACGAAATTTCATAAATGCGTTGCAAAACTCACGTCAAAGCGAAGATGAAGGGTTACACATGTTACGTGACAACCCTTCGTTGAAAGAGGTCACGTTAACCATTTGTAATCTATTCGTATTACACACCATGGAAAAAGACCTGGGGGATTTTATGGAATGTGGATATTTAACCCCATCACAAGCGAGATTGTTGAGAGCTCAAATTTATAATTTGTTAAAGGAAATTAGGCCAAATGCCGTTGGTCTGGTCGATGCTTTTCTTATCCCAGACTTTTTGTTGCAATCCGCTATTGGAAGGTATGATGGAAAGGTTTACGAGACTATGATTGATTGGGCCTCCAAGGAACCCTTAAATGGTATCACCTTGGATGTTAATCCTGATAGTGATGTATTAATTAGAAACGAAACGGATAATAAAACAAAGGCTAAACTTTAAAAAGGTTGTTAGCACGAACCATGAAGTACTAATAGGAATGAATGTGCATTTAAAATTTTTTTTTTGTTGGGTAAACATAAATAAATAAAGAAGCATTTATCAGGAAGAAATGAGTGTTCTCGTAACACAAATTTCCAAAAACTGTTCGTCGCACTCATGGAAAATCTCAGCATGGGAAGTTAATTTATTTAAAAAAAAAAAAAAAATCATATAATTTAATAGAATTTTTAATATCAACAAAAATTGATGAAGGCGCGTGGGGAAACGTTATGAGATCGCGTGGCCATCTTCCGATTCCTATTCATGATTAGATAACGACTAAAAAAGGAACGAACCAAAGCGAATTCGCACGACGTTTTTGACATTTTCTTGATTTCGACAAGTTGACCGAATAATAAATAATGCGCAGCCTCACGAAATCCAGTTAATTATCCGGAATTTCGCACACAGCCGGGACCTTTAAAAAGATTCTTTTCCGACAAACTAAGCGAAAAGGAGGTATGCTTTACAACATAACATGTGAACATTATTTAATTTTGTGTTAATTATTTGCTTTTTTGAATGGATTATTTGATGTTTGCATAATTGTTAATGAAAGCGTAGTGATACTATTTAAATTCAGTAACACGTTTAATTCATAATTCAATTGTTACAAGTCCTTTGAAAAGCATTTATGCAATCATTTAGCAAATCCGAGCGGTAAACAAATCAAGCCAATCATGTCGTCCACTCCCCGGTTAGGAAGGTTGCTGCGCCATGCTGCGGAAATGGTTTTTGTTTGCGTTTTTGGCCGCGGAAAAAGTTTCCGAGTTTAGATTGATATTTCGGAATTATTTTTATTTTTAATGATCCTTAAACAGGTTGCAATCAATCCCGCATTTTTTTTTTCTTTTAGAGATAAAAGCATGTTTATGTCAAAATCGACCTTTTATACCAAAAAAATACATGTCACATTTTGTGATCGTCTTACCAGGACACCAATCCCACTTACATTTTCCTTCATCGGTGTGAACTTTCACCGTCTACAAAACGACAATTTTATAGAATGAAAAAAATAAATAAATAATAAACCGAATAAAGCTTAACGCCCCAAACTTGAAAGTGAATGGGCCATCCCTTCCCCTTCCCCTTTATTATTATATACGATAAAAGTTATCCAACTAATCATGTCGTGAACATAAAATAATTCACAACCTTTGCAGTCAATTCAATAAGCAAAATAAATAAAATTTGATTTTGCTGCGTATCCATTATTCATTAGTGGTTTAATATAGGCATTTAATAAATTGTTTTTTTTTTTTTTTTTTTTCAAAATATTTTTTTTGTATATATATACGGGCGTATAAAAGTTGAAAAAAAAAATAAATAAATAAATAAATAAATAGATAAATAAATAACCGTACAAATCCTACCTATAAATTGGATAAACATTTCGCATTGCTTTTTTTTACTCCTTACTGTTAAGCAAATTAAGTAAAAATAAAGGAATCTTAAATTAAATTACTACACTCCTATTTTCAATTTGGAATTTATTTCGTCTCACTCTCTTGGAGAGGAGCTTATTTTTTTTTTTTTTTTTTTTTTGTCCTATATATAAAGCCGCACCTAATTTACTTGTAGAATGGATGTTCTTTCCGTAACGACTACAACTGAGGTTAACAACTTGTCACCAAATTTTATAAAGTTAGTTGGTCATTTCTTTTGGTACATCTTTAAGGCAATTTTTCATTAATATCATTTTTTTTTTTTTTACATGGTTTCTCTTTACTATATATAGAAAAAATCTTAATGCGGGTAAAAAATGTTCAGGAAAAAAAGATTCAGGGAGTTTTCTCAACAATTATTACCTCAGTGCGTATTTGTCACTGATTTTATTTCATTTATTTCATTTTTTTTTCAGTCGCGAGATTGGCCGTTGCGAGATTTCATCATACATATATTATAAAAACATCTGCTAACATAAAACCTTTTTTTCCATTTTTTTTTTTTTTTTTTAATAAAAATCCTTATGCTAGGTTAGAATTAGATCCGTCACAGCAGCCGACGTTAGTTTCAGATATCCTTGAAGAAATCTTTTCGTTAATTGCGGAAACGGATTCATGTTCGACAGCGTATTATTATTATGATCATGCAACTTTAAAGGATTTATATTCTTGTACGTTAGTAAATCGTCAGTGGTGTGCAAGCGCGGTAAGGATATTGTGGAAAAGACCTTTTAGCTCGTTTCATAATGGAGGGCATAAATTAATCACAACGTATTTAAGAGGGTTAGATATTGAGGAACGAAGGGATTTGAAACTTAAAGGGATAAAATTGCCCACGGTTTCCCCGATACCCATGTTTAACTATCCTTCATTGATACGTCACCTTGATTACGGTGAGATGTTATATGCCGTAGAAGTTTGGTGTTCAAAATTACCACGGAGACGGTCAAATGCTGTCATATCCGTCATGAGGGTCTTATTAAGGTTATTACTACACAATGCAGGTCCTTTATCCTCGTTAAAACTCGCCAGTCTCGGAGAGGATTATCATAATGAAAGGGTGATGATTTTGGCCGAACCGGAGATTAGAAGTTTAATCACATCGGTTAAACTGCTTTCTCTTGACGGATTTGATTATAATCAACACGGTTTACTGGTTAGGTTACCGGATTTATGTAAAAACATCGAGTACTTGCATCTTCGCGGTTGGTACGGGCATCATCCGCAGAACGAAGGCACGATCACATCATTACAAAAGGATGCCGCAGCAATCTCGCTACGTCGGTTAATCAAAGCGCAGAAATCATTAATATCATTAGACATGATCGATTGTAAAGCGTACCTTGGTCATATAATATCAGCCTTGGATACGCAGTCAATCTCATTGAGGCAAATGAAATTTCGGTTGGTGGATTTTAAAGATTGCGGGCCATGGGATGGATTGGCCACTTGTCACCGGTTAAAAAAATTGGAATTTTGGTTTTGTAAAGGGATCACTCAAAAAATGATCAATCCTTTAATTCACGGCACTTTTCCTGAATTGGAAGAGGTGAAGATGTTGCAATACGGAAAATCTTGCGAGGAATTCAGAATTTGGATAAATAACATGAATGGTACCATCAACAAGGAAGAAATTTTGGAGGATTCAACCGATGATATAGCCGAGTCTCAGGATGAATCCTGATTTGTAAAAAAAAAAAAAAAAAAAAAAAAAAAAATTCCCGACATATGCATATTATATGTCAGAGTAATGTCAAACTTTTTTTATTTTGGCATAAATTATAATCACATTTTTAACAAACTCATTTGAAAAAAAAAATTCATTGAATAGATATTTGCATAAAAATAAACAAATAAATAAAAATATCTATATATATATATATTCGTTATTAATTCAATAACCAAAAAAAGAAAAGGAAAAAAAAAAAAAAATAATTAAAAAAAAGAAAAAAAAATTTTATTATTTTTTTTTTTATTATTAAATAGCATTAAATTAAAGCATTATTCTTCATTTTTTAAGTTGGGAGATTTAGAATTCAGATATGAATGGACATTGGTTTGAAAATCATACTTATTCTCATATACATATACGCACGACGTTAATGTCGTGTAACCATTAGTTTTATATAATATAATAATATATACATAAAAATATATATATATTTCCGGTTGGAAACGGACTTTGTATTTTTTGTATGTGTGGTCGCGATGATGTTTAATAAAATAACGAGAAATAAAAAACGTAATACTACCGCGGATGTCACTGCGGGCGTTCCGGAGATCCCTCCCCGGAGATCTACACAAATACCCCATATTACTTATTTACTCCCAAGTGGAAATTTTTATATCATTATCCAAAAACTGAAGATTAGCACAGAGCACAATTTTACGCATGACTGCGCCGATGCATCATCTTCATATCTTTTATTTATTTATAAAATGATGATGTAAAATCATACGACTTTGCGAACTTTACGACATTCCCAAAAATGATAAATCAGATCATATTGTCTTACTAGTTGGATTGTTTTAAAAAATAAATAAAAATCTCCCCTCTCCCATTCTTTTTTGGATTGAAAAAAAAAAAATAAAATAAAATAAAATAATATAAATCCTAACCGCACGCAGAAAAAAAAAGTAAAAAAAATGAAAGCATCTGTTTACATTCCATCGGACATAATCGAAGAGATTCTATTTTTCATTCAGGCGGATCATTGTACGCCTAATAATCAACTCACATATCATGTTGGACCAACCTTATACTCATGCCTATTAATTAATCATCAATGGTGTCGATTGGTCGTTCCCAAATTATGGAAGCATCCCTTTTACTATGCATGGAAAGGGAGTGGGAATGAAAAATTGATTTCAACGATCCTATCATTTTTAAAGGAGACTTTAAGGAAACCCTTGATTTGTAACGGATTCGTTTTACCATCCATTAGTCAAGGATCAACCTTTGATTACATCTCAATGATAAAACATTTACATTATGATTATATGCTAACCTCGGTTGAGTCATGGTGTAAAAATCTGGTTAATTCATCCGGAAATAATAATGTCTCGATGATCATCAAGGTCATATTGAGACTTTTTGTTGACAAATCTGTTGAATTGACCAGTCTCTTCATCTGGCCAAATAATGTTTATTTGCGACATTATAATTTAAATAAGTACATGGAATTGGTTGAACCTGAATTCAATGGTTTACTAAAGAATTTAATGAGTCTTCATGTGGAAACGCATTCTCATTATCCATCTGCAAAATTCTTGCAAAAATTATCTTTAATCGTCCGTAATGTGGTAAGTCTTTATTTTTTTTTTTTTTGTAAAAGTTCTGTTTTGTTAAAAAAAAATAAAAAATAAAAAATAAAAAAAATTTTCCTTATAGAAAAAAATCCATTTGAGAACTCCACTATTAGGTTTAAAGGGATTCCCAAATGGTATGGAGGCTGGAATCGCAAAAAATTTGTGCACATTAATACAGTCTCAAACAAAATTGGAGGAATTTAAATTGATGAGTTCCTTCAAATTCACTCCTTCATTTATCTCATCATTATCCGTTCACACCGATCATCTCAAGAGCGTAGCATTATTTGAAACGAAAATTGATGAGGTGGATTCTTGGAAGGTTTTAACAAATTGTTTGAACCTAGAAAGATTTGAAATAATTAATTGTGTTGGATTACATTCCGACTTTATTTCACTTTTTTATAATGTCAATAACTTTAAGAAATTAAAATGGATTTCAATGGAAAAAAATCAACCTAATGAAATCAATGAAGAATTGAAAACTTGTGCTATTCACAAGTATAAAGATGATCTTAGGTTTAGGTTATTGAAAAGTGGCAAGGTATTAAATGACATTTGTAAATAATATTAATTGTAATATATTAAATAAAAGTGTAAATAAATTAAATAAAAGTGTAAATTTAAATATAAAGACATTTTTTTTTTTTTTTTTTTCATTCATAATCCAATGAATTTTTTTTTCTCATGTACAAGAGTTTTTAATTTTGCCAAATTACCAAATTATTTTTCCTTTTGACCGTGATGGTAAGTTATTTTCATACCGATTTTTATAAATTTACATTCTATCTTTCCTTTTAGATTTTCCTTCAGGTTACACATTCATGAAAATATTCCAACGTTCCATTCATGTTAATAAGATTTTAACTAAAAATTACTGAAATTACTAATATTATGATGCACTTGCTGTTTGCCAAAAAAATTTTTTTTTTTTAACATTGAAAAAAATATTTTTTTGACTCATAATTTGATGGTAATTTCAGCATACATTGCATCAATTTCTCTTTGGAATCGCAATTTAGCTTGATGTCTCTTTAATTTATAGGTGGGTGTAAGCAAATTATTCTGTATGGAAAATGGTTCAGGGGTCAAATAAACATTTTTGACACATTCAAAACCCTTCAAATCATTTGCCTTGCCATATTTAATGAGGGTTTGAAGAAAATGTTTTCTAACTTTGGCATCTTTACAAAGTTCTTCGTAGGATAGGCCTTCAAAGCCATTTTGTTTGGCCCAGTGCATAAGAACTTCTTCATCAGGAACGATAACGCATATTAATGAAGCTTGTAACGAATCCCCATAAACAAATGCTTGAGAGACGAGTTCATGTTTACAATATATGTTTTCAATCTAAAAGTTGAAAAAATTAATTAAAAAATATAAAACGTCAAAAATTTGACAATAAACGGTATTATTTTATACCTTTTCAGGGGCAATGTACTCGCCCTGCGCCAATTTAAAGATATTTTTGACGCGATCGATAATCATTAAACGACCCTGATCATCCCATTGTCCGATATCACCGGAATGACACCATCCATCTTTATCAATGGTCTTGGAGGTTTCATCAGGAAGTTTATAATATTCACGGAAAACCGTATGACCTCGAACACAAATTTCACCTCGGGGATAAGGTTTATCATTAGACGTGTAGTTCATTTCTGGTACGTCTACCAATTTAACCTCGACGCAAACTTGTGGTGGTCCAACATGACCCGACGAAGTATCACCAAACAATGACTTTACAGTAAGAGCGAAAATAAATAAATTTTTATTTTTTTCCATTAAGAACAAAAAACCAATAGAATCAAATCATGTGATACTTACTACAGTTAAACCAGCAGCATTTTCCGTCTGACCATACCCTTCAAATACTTCGGTGGAGAACGCAATCCTCAAAAAGTCCATGACATCAGGTGTAATTGGAGCCGAACCTGACAAGATATATTTAACTTTACCACCGAGTCGAGCTCTAATCGGAGCAAAAACCATGCGATCCCACATCCAGTGATCGTACCTTCCCTGCTTCAAGCCGCTTTTTTTTGAGTTAAAAGCGGCGGTAAACATCCATTGTGCGACACCACCCTTCACTTTCACACCGGCCATCACTTTATCGTAAATACGATTAAGTAAACGTGGCACCGAAATAAATATAGTAGGTTTCAATTCATCAATATCATCCAATAATTTCAAGGTATCACCTTGATAGAAACCGATCGCCGAACCTCCATAAATCATCGTAGACATATTAGCTAACTCAAACACATGAGCTAATGGTAGATAAGAAATGTGTACATCGTTTGGAGTCGACTTAAACATAGTGCCTCGATCCGCAAGCCATCTAATGCTGGCAACGTTCGCCATGAAATTCTTATGAGTCAACACTGCACCTTTAGGGATGCCAGTTGTACCAGAAGTATAACAAATCGTTGCAACGTCATCAGGTTTAGCATTCTCCGCTTCGACGGGTTGAACAGAGCCAACTTGTTCAACATCCGTGAAATTTAAAATTTTAACATCAAGCGCATTCGCGAGGTCATTAAATTCTTGATCAATTGTATCCAAAATGATGATGGTTTGGATCGTCGGTAACGCTTCCTTCATGTCAAGAAGCACACGACCTTTGTTAACCGTGGCCAAACAATATTTCATTCCAGTTTGGTTTATGATATGTTCAAGAGCTTCGGCGCCCAACGTATCATACAAAGGAACCGCAATGAAATTGTATTGATAGCTGGCAAGTAGCGCCATTACGTATTCAGGATTGTTAATTGAGAAAAATCCTAAAGGTTCCTTAGGATTCAAACCTATCTTTCTCAATCCAGAACCAAAGTTAGCCACACGTTTTTGAACCGTATTGTATGATTGCCAAACATAAGACCCGACGATTTCATTCTTAATCTCTCGATGTCCCAAGAAATTTCCGTCACCTATTATTCAATTTGACAAGAAGGATTAATTCGAATAAAAGGATCCCACTTTTTTTTTTTTTTTTAATCAAACGAAAAAATAAAAAATTTCAAAACATTTTACCTGCTTCCTTGACGCCATGTAAAAAATTTTCATATAGAGTAGTAGCTCCATCAGGATGAAGAATGAGCTTATCAGGAGAAAGAGCATTTCGGCGGGGTTTACCCTCTCCGGGAATATCGGATGCCCCGGCAACCTCGACTGAATATTGATGTTTTTGTGTCGAACCACTCATTTTGATGAATGGAGGAAGGCGTTTTTTTTTTTTTTTTTTTTTTTTTTAGGAATATTTATTAACGGATCACATAACACGTGATTACAGTATTACTAAGAATGGGTGTGACTCCAACCAAATAAACAAACCCTATTTTTATTTACCCATTGTTTTTTTTATTTACATTCTTTTGATTTCATTTTCTTATTTTTTTTTTTCTTTTCATTTTTCTAAAATTTTTGTCATAATCTCTTCAGAATGCGTATTATCATATTTAATTGTTGTAGCCATTGGCAATAAAAAAACCATTGTTTCTGAACACCAAAAATGGTACAAACATTATTAATTCGGAAAATGCGATATGAGGGGATAAGCCTATCGTTTGATTTGCATGCAGACCTTGTGATACAGGAATTTAATGGGTTGAAAAAGTTAATTATCTGATTAAAAAAAAAAAATAATAATTTCACACGATTTGTCAATTTTGAACTACTTTGTTCGGAAATTCAGAGTATTTATAATGATTTTCTACTTTTGATCCGAAAGCCATAAAAGGATTCCTTTTGCATGCATTCACATTTGTCAACCGCAGCAAAGAGCTCGTGCTTTTTTTTTGTTCATTCGGTCTATAACTCTTTTTTTGGCCTCACCAAGTCTCGTATGTCATTTTGCATGTCTTGAATTGTACATATTGAAACTTTATGCATATTCACGGTTGTACATTTTTATGTTTTTCGATCGTCAGGGTCAAAATTTTTTTCAAAAGAACCGGTTTATGAGAATGTGAAAATCATTTAATCGTGATAAAGTTATGATAAGTAATTTTTGATAATTTATACTTATTTAGGTAATGATACAATTTGTGGCACAATGCCGCACAAGCATTTTTTTTGAATTACGCGAATTCAGAAACAAGAATGAAACGTGTTCTTTCTCCTTCTAGCGTTATAGAAAAACATGTTTTTTCTTTGTTGGTATTGAAAAAAAAACGAGTTTTTTTTTCTTGTTTGACAACGACGTCAAAATGGATCGCAGATATTTTATTTCAATAAGGACATGAATTTGATGAAACCTGTGTGGCCACACATTGCCACACGGAGCTAAAACGACGTAATTTCATACTCTAATGAAAGCATTGACCAGCTTCTTTGGAAATGGCGTATTCGCACATACGTTTTGAATGCTTATCCAGTATAAACGGTTGTTCAATAATTGTCGTGATTGGATGTTTAACCCTTCGCGATATTACAAGAACATTGTCAAGTTTGCGTCCAATGAAATATACGAGGGCTCAATTGAAGCAATAAACCTATATACGTAATTTTTTTGGTTAGATTGCCCCATCCCTTTTATTTTTATCCTTTTTTTTTATGTAAAACAATTAACAATACAACAATGACAGCATTACACAATTGAATAATTGACATTTCTATAAATTTGACACATATCTAATCTTTTTTTTTATTTTATTTTATCTTATATAAAAAACTAATATAAATTTTTTTTTTTTTTTTAAAAAAAAAAAAAATTATTACTTAAAAAATTCTTAATTACGGTATTGTAAATATAAACAAATAAATCATAAAAAAAAAAATTTTTTTTTTTTGGGTAATTCGTATTCATTTTTTTTTTTTTGCTCCCGATAAATTTTTCTAAAAAAATTTCTCTCCTTTTTTTTTCTTTTGCTTTTGTTTTTGTTTTTGTTTTTGTTTTTTGTTTTTGTTTTTGTTTTTTTTCGACGAAGTGTGTATATATACATATATATAAATTTAGAAACTTTTTTTTTCTATATATATATTTAAAAAAAGTCCTTATGTGTTACATTTTTTTTCTTTTTTTTTTCGTAATTTTGTTTGGTTTTTTTTTTTTTTTTTTTTTTTTTGTTATTTTTTTTTCTTTTTTAAAAAAAGAAAAGCTTAGGAAGAGGAAGAATTTCGACGACGACGTCGACTATTAATCATATCCGCCCACGCCTCCAATTCGTCACCGATTTCATATGGTTCACATGAATAAACCCAAACTTTCTTTAGATTGCGATGGTGAGATTTTAAAAGGGGCGAGATCATATTGAAGTCCATGTTGTAACATTCTTTAATATCCAACCTTTCTAATTTCGTGCAAGACTTTAAAACGTCCCATTTACAACATCCCTCAAAATCAATCCCACGAAATTCAATGTGTTTTAAAGTACGCTTTTGCTTTACTAATGAGGGGATGACTATGCCGATAAATGCTTTGCAACGAGAGAAAACTATCTTTTTTAACCCTCGTTGAGATTCTATGAGTGTACCTAATTTTTTTGCTGTATGAATTGCAATATCATCATATGCGCTCAAATTATTGATTCTAATTGAATGCTATAAAATAAAAGATACGAGACCTTTAGTAAAGAAGGAAAAAAAAAAAATAACTCTTTTCAGAAAAAAAAAAAAAGGAATCCTTCAACTTACGAGATTTCTACAATTTTTGGCTAATGCAACTAAGAGAGTGTCTTTTGGAAAGTAACAATTAATTGCAAGATGTCTAATTGGTTTTATTAATGTAAGAATTTCTGGCTCAGCCAATAACGAGTATTTATCATCGTCTAAACCCGTACTTCTAATGGTAAGAGCTGAAAGAGATGCGGACCTGCCAGCGAAAAGTCTCAAAAGCGATCGTAGGATAGCAACGACATATTGATCATCACTATCTTCTAAAAGACGACACCATGATCTCACGAATAATACCATTTGATAATAATCTAGATTTTTTAAAAAGTTTGGGTAGTCAAAGATTGGACAATCCGATTTATTAAATGGTAGGTAGATTCCGTCTTCGAGAAGGCTTTGACGTTCTTCATAATTGAGACAGTTTAATAAGGTTTGAACGAGAACTTTTCCACCTCTTTTATGACAACGATGAAAGGGAGAGCGCCATAAAACGGATACTGCACTTTCGCACCAACGTCTATTCACTAAAAGGCAAGAATATAAACTACGAAATGTTTTTGGAGTGGGGGAACCAGATATTTCGTCTCGGTCGTCAAGATATTCGAAAATTTTACAGAGTACATCTGGTATTAACATTTAATCTAATTTTCTTTTTTTTAGTTCTAAGGCTATGTTTTTTTTTTTTTAAAAAATTTTTTTTTTTTTTTTTTTTTTTTTTTTCACAAAATTTGAGGAAGGGTTGAATAAACAGAGCGATGATATAAAAAACTTGGATTGTATTCGGAAAGTAATTGTAGGAAAGTCATCTATTAATAATTAATGATCAAAAAACGCGGTAAGAAATCCTTATCTGTAATCCCGGGAGATGAAAAAAAGAAATGAAAAAAAAAAATGTATATAATTTTTTTTTTTTTTGAGATACATAACAAAATAAAGATCAACAACACAGTTACCTATTTGATTGGAGACAAAGACACCTTAACAAGAATTAGATCCCAGCCCGCGCCCAGTTTTTATGCGGGGAAAAGAACAGTCAGGTGGTTCAACACAACTTTTTATGCAGAGTCAATAATAATTGATTATGGCGTTTTCAATTAGTCCATTGCATTTTTTGAATGTGTTTAGCCCAAATTGAATAGCTTGCCCAAATTACCTTGAAATGAAAGGAAATAAATATAAAATATGCAAAGAGAAAAAAAAAAAAAAAAAAAAAAGATAAGAGATAATAGCCCCTGCAGAAATCCATACTATGAACGAAGAAATTCTTTGTCAAATTGTACTGTCAACCATTTTTGACAGTTGAATAGATAGGGAAATTGATAGGCTAAGAAAGCAAACCTTTTTTTTTAAACAAGGAATAATGTGGGGGAAGCAATAACATTATAAGTATGTTGATGTCAAGCAATCCATATATATTAATATTAGTTATGTCATAGTATTTCTTGATAGCGTTCAAAATTTGCTGCTTGAAATTCTTCAACAAATAGGTAAGCCTGAGAACATATATGTACGTCGCATTCCCGAGACGCATTGAAATCAATATATTTCGCATCCAATTTTGACAACCGGGACAATCGAAGCTCGTTTTAGCAGTTTGGATTGGCTCAAGTATCATTTAAATAGTTTCAAATTAAACCATATAATCACAATAATTGTTCTACATAGAGTCCAAAATTGGGATAAAATCATATGAAATTGTTTTGTTACCTTTCAACATAAATATTTATAGATCAGATAAGATAGTCCATAATACAATAATAATACAATCGAAAAAGTGTTTCTTTCAAATATTACAAGACTGCGTATTCATTGATCTTAGCCTGCTAGCTGCATTTACTTTTTGTCTCACCAAATATTTTTTTTCGCTTACCTAAACTTTGTAAGTTCTAGATGCATTCAAGATAATTTGTTCTCGCAATAATTAACCCCTTCTATATGCAAAGTTTGGTGTAACTTCCTCCTTTGTAGAAAAAGATCGTGGAGGTTGATATTATCTAATCTTATTTTGTTTATTATAAACAAAAGATCACTCAAATATTTTTAAATGTCTGAGAGTAATTAAAAACGGGTGATGATTACGTAAACTTGTATATAATCTCATGAAAGAAAAAGTTGACATAAATTCACGACGTGCATCAATGCAACCATCATTTGAGAATGTCGGGTTCAGATAGTGGGAAAATATGTAACAATGACGTTTTGGGCTTGATGTGGGTTCAAACAATGAACTCCATTAATTTCGGTAAAGGACATTTTCATTTTACAAGGAAAATTTTCCTACATTGACCAAATGAGCGTTTTTTATTAATGCGTCAGGTGTTGGTGCATCATATCATTAAAACGGTTGATATCCTTAGATGATTAACAATATATGTCAATGTTTGCTTGCTTTTACTTTTAATTTAATTTAATTAATTAATTCATTGTTTATTTTAATTTATTTTAGGGTTTGTCTATTGTATCGATCTACCATTATTGTTATTAATTTATTTTATTTAATTAAGTTTAACCATTGTTCTTTCGTTCTTTCAGGCACGTGATTGATTGTAATAAATTTGCGTATTTTGCGAAAAAAAAATTTTCCTTCTTTAAAATGATCGCTACGGTTCAAAGAATTAAAATGGGATATTTTACGTTAAATCATAATAAACGACTTTAATGATTTAGTTTTTCATATTCAAGCAATCTTAACGTTAATAAATCACCTGTTAAATCTGATAACACTTTACAGAAACTTGGTTTTCTTAATACGCAGTAACTGCAAAGTGACTATATGGTAAATATATAGTTACTACCTTACTTAATAGTTGCTTAATCGCAGCCTAATAGTTACTATGCAGTTACTGCATAGTAAGGAAACAAAAGTTTTTCTAATGTACTTTATTTTATTTTGCTATTAAATAACAATTTCTTTTAGCATCGTTTCGTCGTTAACGTAAAACTTAATAAAATTTTTATAATATAAAGCTTAAATTACATTTAAAAATAAAATTATGTAATAAGCAACCATAGTTAATAAATCATTCCCTTTGAATTATTTCATGTAAAATTTACATTAACCTTTGGTGATTAATATAATTTGAAAAAAATCTTATATATAAGTTTTGCAAATCTAAATATTATTTTTTTAATTTGTTTATTTTATTTTTTTTTTTCATATATTAATTATAACTTTCCCTATTATTTATTATTTAATGATTAAAAATAAGATTAGAATACTTGTATTAAATTCAAAATTTATTAAAATTTCTTTAACTCATTAATTTCTGATTATTACTTATTATTGATATACCTACTTTAAGTTTTGTTATATATTTGATTCTATTTAAATTATATTTAATAAATTTATATTATAATATATTTGTAATTAAACTATTTATATTAAAAAATTTCTATATTTTTAAATTATATATTAATTTACTATTTTTATATAGTAGTAGAAATCTTTAAAAATGCTTATATTATTTTAAAAAATATATAAAAAGGATTGTTTACAGATAAATAGAATTACATAATATTTTAATTACAAAAAAAAATATTTAATATTATAGTATGATTAAAGATAAGCATTGTAATTAAAAATATAATGCAATTAATTTGTGACTTGTGACATAATTAAATTTACTTATGGTATAATTAAGTTGCAATTAAATTAAAATTTAAAAATAATTATTGAAGGTTATTCTAATTATAATAAAAATAATTTAACTATTACAATATAATCTGCCTATTTTAAAAATAAAGTTAATGAATAAAATTTAGAAATTATTTAAATAATAAAATAAAAAATTAGTAATATTATACTAAAGTTTTATTAATAAATCTATAAAGTTCAAAACATAAATTATATTTAAACTTATAAAATAATAATACTATATTTAAACTTTAATAAAAATTAACAAAACTAAAAATTTAAATTTATAATAAATTTAGATAAATTATTTTAATCAAAAATAATCTGACTATTATCTTTTAAATTGTAAATATAAAATTGTTTATAAAATATTTTAAAATATTCTAATATCTAATGATTATAAAAAGATAAAATATAATTTATTATATTTGTTATATTAAAATACATTTAATAATAATATTTTTAAAATTTTAAAATTAATAATATTAAAATATATCAAATTTTTAAATTTTCAATTTTTAATTTTAAAAATAACATATTATATAATAATTATTTAAAAAATAAAATTCAGTTTATTAGATTTATCTTATTAAGACTTAGTAAATAATAGTGTTTTTATATTTTTGAGATTAATAGATAGTAAAATATAAGAATTTAAATTTTTAATTTTTTTTATTATTTATTTATTTTTAAAAAATTTCTAATTAATTATATATATATATTTTTAATTATACTTAGAAAATATCATAAAATTTATTATAAAAATATTAATTTTTTTAATATATTTTAAAATATTTTAAAATAATTAAAAATGATTTTAATTTATAAATAAAATTCTTATAAATTTATAGATAAAATAATTAAAGCAATAATATAAATTTTTGTAATAAAAAAGAAAATATTACTAAAATAATTAATTTATTTTTAAATATTCAATAAAATTTAAATTTTAAATCAAATATATTTAGATTTTATATTAGCTTATTTTATTTTTTTTAGCAATTTTTTTTCTTATAGAGATTTATATAATTTAATTTTGATAAAATAATTATATTATTATAATATATATTAGAATATTATTTTAACTTAAAATTATATTATTTTTAATATAATTATTATTTTATAATATATTTAATTAAGTATTTTTCTTTTATTTTAACTATATTTAGATTTTTATATATAATATTTTATTATTTAGAATAAAACGTAAAATATTATATTTTTAGAAAATATAAAAAATTTATATCATATGAGTATTTTTATTTATTATCTATATATACAATAAGATCTGTAAATAAAAAAAATAAAAACAAAAAAAATAAAAATTAATTTATTATATTTATTGATTTAAATAAAAAATTTTACTCTAGATTTAAATAGTTTTCATTTTTTTAGTAATACTATAATTTAACTATAATTTTATTATTTAATTATATTTATTTTATTATATTTTATACACTTTTTATTTTTTAATTTTTATTTATATTAGTATTTTTTATTTTATTTTATTATTAAAAATTATTTTATTAGAACTATTTTAATTATTTTTAATATTAAAAAAAAAGATTTTGATTTATTTTAATATATTTTAAATTTAATATAAAATCATAAATATATAAATAAATTATATTAATTATTTTATTTTTATATTTTAAATTATATAAAATATAAAAATATAAATATAAAAATTAGTTTATATTTAATTTATATATTATTATAAATATTAATCATTTAGATTTTAAAAATTTAAATAAAATTATAAATATTGTTACTGTGAAATTCTTCAACTTGAGGTAGTTACATTATCAAGTCTCTATTCAAAATTCCTAACTGTGGTTTACTGCGGTTAAGACGTTAGGATCTGCCTAACTCTTAACTTTACTAAATTTACGCGTTGAACTTAAACAAATCTATCAAGTATAAAGACTTAAAAGGTGAGATTATAAACAATTTTAATTAAAGAATTCAAATGATAAACTCAATTACAATAAGATGTAAGGAT